GGGGTGGTCCGATATGACCATAGAACCTCTAGTAGCTCCTCGACCCATCTGCCTTTTCTGGAGTCCAATCTCAGTTTGAGGCCTCGCTTGATGATCTTGTTCACCGCTTCCACTTGTCCATTTGCTTTCGGATGTGCAGGGGATGAGCTGACATGACTTATACCAAGCCTTCCGCAAAAGTCCTTGAACTTTGCATTGTCGAATTGCTTTCTGTTGTCCATCACGATGGCATGTGGTATACCAAAACGGCATATAATGTTTGCCCATACGAAGGACGTGACTTTGGACTCTGTAATGTGGGAGAGCGCCTCGGCCTCGGCCCACTTTGTGAAGTAGTCCACAGCGACAACGGCAAATTTGGTCTGTCCTTTGCCCAAAGGGAAAGGACCGATGATGTTTATCCCCCACTAGGTGAATGGCCATGGGGCCGAGATGGGGGTGAGCAGCTCGGGTGGATGGTGGATTATGTTTCTGAAGCACTGGCAGTTGTCACAAGTTCTCACAAACTTCTTGGCATCTTGGTCGAGAGTAGGCCAGTAGTATCCTTGTCGGACCACCTTGGCCGACAACGACCGAGCGCCTGAATGGTTGCCGCACACTCCTTCATGGATCTCCCTGAGGACATAGAGGCCTTCCTCAAGGGTTACGCATTTCAGCAGAGGTAGAGAGAAGCTACGTCGGTATAACGCTCCGTCTTGGATTACGAACCGAGCTGCTTTTCTCGCCATCTTTTTGTGCTCTTTGGGATCTGGTGGTGAATTTCCTTTAATGAAATCCACGATTGGATCCATCCACGAAGGCTCCGGAGTGTCGACTTCCATCAAATCTGGCTCCAAGATCGAAGGGCCGTCCAAGATCTCGACAGGGACCGACCTGGCCAGATCGGTCTCGTATGCTAACGCTAATTTGGCTAAGGCATTAGCATTGGAATTTTCCGCTCTTGGAACTTGGCTTACTTCGTAGGTCCTAAACTGGATGAGGTACGATCTGACCTTGCTTAGATATTTCTCCATTCGGGAGTCTTTGGCTTGATACTCCTCCTTGATCTGACTTACAACCAGCTGGGAGTCGCTGAAGACCTTAATATGAGAGGCTCCCAGTGCCCTGGCGATCCGCAAACCCGTTAGGAGTGCTTCATACTCGGCCTCGTTATTGGAAGTCCGGAAGCTGAATCGTAGAGCATACTCAAACCGCTCACTTCCTGGTGCGAGCAAGAGGATTCCTGCCCCGCATCCTCTCTCATTGGAGGATCCGTCGACATAGATCGTCCACGGGAGGTCGGGCCTGCTTAGCTCGGGAGGTGGTGTGAGCTCGGCTATAAAATCAGCCACTGCTTGTCCTTTCAACGCAGTTCTGGGTTCGAACTGGATGTCGTATTCACTCAACTCCATTGCCCACTTCATCAGGCGTCCTGATGTCTCTGGCTTATGGGAGATACTCTTCAGGGGCAAGTTGGTGAGCACCACCACAGTGTGAGCTTGGAAGTACGGCCTAAGCCTCCTGGTAGAGGTGACTAAGGCGAGAGCCAACTTTTCCATTTGAGGGTATCTGGTCTCAGTTTCAGTCATAGCCTTGCTTGTGTAGTAGACCGGACTTTGCCGCGCTTCCTCTTATTTGACTAGGGCCGAGCTGACGGCGCTGTCGGACACTGCCAGGTACAAGTAGAGCCTGTCTCCTGGCAATGGCTTGGCAAGCAGAGGTGCCGAGCAGAGATAATTCTTCAACCGCTCTAGTGCTTGCTCGCACTCTGCTGTCCATTCGAATGGCCCCTTCTTTCTTATGACTTTGAAGAAAGGAAGGCAGTTATCTGTTGACCTTGAAACAAACCGGTTCAGGGCTGCAATCCTGCCATTGAGGCTCTGAAGCTGCTTCAGGGTCTTGGGTACCTCTATCTCGAGCACGACCTTTATCTTCTCGCGGTTGGCCTCGATCCCCCGGTTGTTTACCATTAAGCCAAGGAACTTTCCCGAGGAGACTCCAAAGGCACACTTGGCTGGATTGAGCTTCATTTGATATTTCCGCAGAACTTCGAAGGCTTCGGCCATGTCGGAAAGATGCGACTTTGACTGCTTGCTCTTGACAAGCATGTCGTCCACATATACTTCCATATTCCGGCCGATCTACTTGGCGAACATTTTATTCACCATTCTTTGGTAGGTCGCCCCTGCGTTCTTTAGGATGAAGGGCATGACCTTATAGTAGTACAGACCTTGGTCTGTTATAAATGCAGTATGATATTGATCTGGGGAATGCATCTTGATTTGGTTGTACCCGGAGTAGGCATCCATGAAGGTGAGCAGCTCGTGCCCGGCAGTAGCGTCCATGAGCTGGTCGATCATCGGCAGTGGGAAGCAATCTTTTGGGCATGCCTTGTTTAAATTTGTAAAGTGTACGCACATTCTCCACTTCCCGTTGGATTTTTTAACCAATACAACATTAGAGAGCCACTCGGGGTACAAAATTTCTCTTATATATTCAGCCTTTAAAAGTTTGCTCACTTCCTCAACAATTACATCACTCCTTTCCTTATTTACAGGTCTTCTTTTATGTTTTACAGGTCGGAATGATGAGTCTATGTTGAGGCGATGCACCATGATTTTCGGGTCAATGCCAGGCATTTCCTCATGAGACCACGCGAAGACGTCCAAGTTAGACCTGAGGAAGTTGATCAGCTCCTGCCTTTCAGTGGCCCCTAGCTTAGTTCCTATGCTTATTTGCTTTTCAGGACTAAGCAAAGGAACAAGCTCAAGCTCCTCAGTTGGCGCGAAGAACTCCTTTTTACCTACTCTTGGCAGGTCGGCCTCGGATTTCTGTAACTCATCCCCCTTGGCGTGTTCTTGCAGGACACATACTGATGACCCTTTAAATACGGAAGCATAGCACTCCCTTTAAGCTTTTTGCTCTCCTCAGACCGTGCCCACTCCATTGGGGGTTAAGTACTTCAGAACTTGATGGAGTGTTGAGGGATCGACCCGAAAGGAATGGATGATAGGTCTCTCGAAGATAGCATTATAGGCCGATCTACCGTCCATCACCACGAACTCGCCCATCTGAGTTACCTGCGTACTATCCTGCCCGAACGTGACTGGCAAGTCAATACACCCTTCTGGGGAGACCGATTCTCCAGAGAACCCAACTAGCGGTGTCGGGCTCTTCTTTAATTGCATCCTGGTCCATCCCAAGGCGAGATATGTCGGAAGGGACAAGATGTTGGCAGATGCGCCTCCATCTATTAACACCCTTCTGACCACAACATGGTCAATCAAAGGAGCAATCATCAGTGCGTCATTGTGGGGCAAGTGGACCCCCTCTAGGTCTGTATCGTCGAAAGTGATGGAGCAGGTCGGCCTCTGCTCCCTGATGATGCACACTTCGCGCTTGGCTGCGCAAGCTAGCTCCTTTCTTTTATTTCCGGATTGGCCTCCACTTGGCCCTTCGAAAATGGTGTTAATGACCGCAGGTCGGTTATCTCGTCGAGGTGGCGTCCTTGAACGCTTTCTCTCTTCTTTTTTCTCTGCCAAGTTGGACCTTGGCTTCCCCACAAATTTCTTGAAGTAGCCATCTTGAATGAGGTCTTCAATTTGGCGCTTCAATTCCCAGCAGTTCGCTGTGTTATGGCCATGGTCGCGATGGAAGCGGCAGTACTTATCCTTATTGCGTCTTTCCGGGTCTTCTCTGAGCTTCTAAGGTCGCTTGAGGAGTTTTTCCATTTCAGACTCCTCGATATTTGTAAGAATCTCAGAGATTGGAATGGTGGTTGGAGTATAGCGCTCATAGGGTCGGCTTCAGCTGGGGCTGTTCTCCGTCCTTCGGTACTCTGCACGGCCACTGGAGGAAGTTCCTCTGTCCTTGGACTTGGAATCTGCCTTCCCCTTGTCTCTTCCATTTTTGCCCTGGTCGACCTTTATTTCTGGTCGGCCAGTTTTGGTTCGGAGGAGCTCTTGCCCGTCAATGACTTTCTTCGCCTTCTGTAATACTT